AGGCACAGCAAGCTTTCATTCTACATAGAGCTTCCTTCTTTAAGCACTATTTTCTTACTTTATGCAGAAATCGACTCTATGTTGGAATCGGGAGGTGATACGGTTATAGCACAGCTAGATCCACATGAGAAAGGTTCTGCTTCATGTGCTGGGATCTGCCTGAGTACCCTGGGCACACATACATGCCATGGTCTGGGCTGGCAGGGAATGGGGTGGAAAATGGTATGAAGACATTGTTGGGGGTGTACCCCTTCAATAAATGAATAAAAACACTTAAAAATCACCTGTATGCCAAGATTGACCCAAGGTTTACTGTGGGTCAGATGCTCTCAGTACTTCACAAGCAATAGCTTGTCTAGTCCACTCACAATGAGGATACTATCATTAATTCTATTATAAATGTAGTATGAGGAAACTAAGGTTTTAATGGGTTAAGTAGCTTGCTCAAGGTCACACTAGTGAATGACAAAGAACATTTCAAGTCTGATGGTCTCCAAAGTTCATCATCAGTAATAAATCTGTTTTAAATAGTTGGTCATATCTCATTAGTAGATCATGAAATCAATTTAGAGGCTTGCCATCCCTTTTCAAGAGGATAAGATAGAATAGCAATATTCAGAATTCATCTCACATATTAAAAGATAAGTCATATTTTAAGAAAAATTTTCCCATCATGTGTGTATAGAAAGGAGTATGTAGGGATTTTGTGAATCTAAATGTGTGTTAAAATGTGTGGGAATTTGGATCTATGTGTGGATACAGATGAGTGGGTAGGGGTGTGTGGGTGTGCGTGTGCTGGATTATAATACAAAATTTGTTTTAAATTATGAGTTATCTTATTTAAAAATTCCAAAGCCACTGCACTAAAATATAGCGACTCACTCTTTCATGTTCCAAACACAGAAGAACTATTAGTTTCTTAAATCTGCCTTTTATTCAAATCTTTGCAGACAAGAAGTTAAGAGATTTTTAAATCTATCCCTCATTATGTCTCTCCCTGGGTGAATAGGCTTAATAAGCCAACCCCCAGCAGAGAAAAGTCTTCCTAAAATAGTCACAGACTTTATTGATCTTATGGCTTGTTGCTGAGAGTAAATCATTCACCTACCACTACAACAATAGCAGAGAAAATATATTTTTGCTTCTGTAAAAACATGGATATGAAAGGATCCTAAGGTTACTAGCCAAGGTTGGCTGCCTTGGTCAGAGAGGACCCAGAAGCTACATCAGCAGCAGCCTCAGAGAGTATGCACTGTAATGTCCAGTTGCCTCCAAGGAAGGGCCAGACTCTCTGCTTTTATGCTTGCTGCATTTCCATGGACTACATAACTAAAGCTCAGATAATCCATTCATCCTCTCTAATGATATCACTAACAGCTTAACATGCACTTGTAATTCAGACTTAGTTTTATTGCATAACTCAAAATCTTGCCCTTTAATACATGGTGTAATTTGTGAAAAGATGACGACCAGCAGCAGGCTTCGCCTACTTTAGAAGAATCCTTGAAGGGTCTGCGGAAAGGACACCTCACTACAAGGTAGCATACACTTGCAAGGCCCACACTCAAAAGAGCATTTTTCTTACTTTTTTTTTTAATTATATGTACACTTTTAAATTTTATTTAATTTTATTCATTGTCATTATTTTATTTTTTTTTAAGTTGACTAGAGAGAGACAGAGAGAAGGAGGAATGTGAGAAAGCAAGTTGCCAGGTCCAGGACTCAAATTGCAGTCAGTCATGTTGGAGTCCAGCTATCTCAACCACTATGACACCTGCTAGCTGGCTCCAAAAGATCATTTTTCTAGAGTAGAAATGCCTTCATGTTCTCAGTCGTCAGTTTCTCATATTTTCATGGAAATAATAATACCAATCACAAATAGGTGTCAGTGATGCTAAATAATTAGTAAATACCCAGCACAAAGTATATGGCGTTCCATGAAGGTTTATCCCTAACCTTCTGCTATATTAAAAAAGCACTGGACCCAGACCAGCATGTGGCATGGTAGTTAAAGTCCTGGACTCCCACATGGCCAATCACAGTTCAAGTCCTAGACCTGGTAACTTGCTTTCTCACTTTCCCTCTCTCTCTGTCTCTCCCTGGTGAGCATGACTTTAAAGAATTAAGTTGTAAGTGTGGAGCTGGAATGTGCTCCACAACTACAACTTAATTCTAAAAATAAAGAAAAATAAAAAGTGTTGGGCCTGATCCAGGCTTAGTGGTTAAGGCATCTGGATTCTATGTGGCCATGGTTCAAGTACCAGACACAGCAACTTAAAAAACATTCCAGGCATGCGTGTGTGTGTGTGTGTATGCCCAAAAAATCCCGGAAAGAGAGAAATGGCGAAGAAGGGATGCAATATGACCAAATCTCATGTGGGGTGTTTTCTCTTCTGCTTTCTCTCTCTCTCTGGTGAGCATGTGCACTCCCTAGCAAAATAAATAAATAAAACAAATAAAAATAAAACACTAACCCCTGCACTGACCCAAGGAAATTCCTGGTCCTGATACCCACCCACCAGTAGTGTCTTTAGGAATACTTTGCCAATGTCCCTCTCTCCCTTCAAGGAGTCATAATAAATAGTAGTTATTCCTGTGTCAATACTTTCCTTAAATCAATTTCTATGAAATTTCAATTTGTATTTCTTTTTTTTTTTTTTTTTGGGAGAGGTTTTTGCTATAGGGCACGTGCGCTCGCCAGACAGACAGAGAGAGACAGAGAGATAGAAAGCAGGAAATCACCCCCCAGGGGGGATGGCCACGCCGCAATCCCTTCTCCTCCATTCTCCTCTCGGGATCTTGGGCACGCACGCACACGCGCCTGGCGTGAGTTTAAGCCACCGGGTCCGGGACTCGAACCGCGGTTGACTACGTGGGAGTCCAGCGACATAGCCATTACGCTAACTGCTGGTCCCAATTTGTATTTCTTTAAAAAAAAAAAAAAGTACACGACTTCCAGAATTACTACTGAATTTACAAAGAAACGTCTATTTGCTTTCTGGAAAGTACTCTTTTAGAATGGAAAGTAGGGCACCTAAATTTATGGATTATTTTAGTCATTTTATTCACAGGTTTTTTGTAAATGTAATTATATTTCCTTTCTGTACTTTCGACCCAGCAGTTATTCAGCTCTCACTAATCTTCTTGTATATTCCCTGCACAAGGAGACTACATTTATTTATTTATTTATTTATTTGAGACTTTTGCTATAAGGTGCGTGCGCTCGCTGGAGAAACAGAAAGTGAGAAATCACCCCCCAGGGGGGACAGCCATGCTGCAATCCCTTCTCCTCCATTCTCCTCTCGGGATCTTGGGCACGCACACACACGCGCCTGGCGTGAGTTTTAAGTCACCAGGTCTGGGATTAAAATCATAGTGGGCTACATCAGCACCTTGACCACTATGGCTTCTGCTGTCCTAAAGATTATTATTTTTTTCCGGAGAGGTTTTTGCTATAGGGTGCGTCCGCTTGCCAGTAAGACAGAGAGAAACAGAGAGACAGAAAGCGAGAAATCCCCCCCCAGGAGGGATAGCCATGCCACAATCCCTTCTCCTCCATTCTCCTCTCGGAATCTTGGGCACACATGCACACGCACCCAGCGTGAGTTTAAGCCACCAGGTCCGGGACTTGAACTGTGGTCAAATACATGGGAGTCCAGCGACATAGCCATTACACTAACTGCTGGTCCCCTCAAGACTATTTTTAATTAGTACTTGCAATGTAGACCTATCATTTCATTAATATCTCCATAGCACAATGGTTAAGGGTTGGCATCTTGGCTCAGTCATAGTGGTGCAGGCAGTAGAGTACTGCTACATGATATGAAGCCACGTGGGAAGCCTGGGTTTGGAGCCCAGGTCAAGGTCAACCTGAACACACCAGGTGTGTCCACTCATGCCAATAATGTTAGCAAGCTGGCAGGGTATGTGGATAAATTGCAGTGTGGAAAGCCCTATCAAAGACCTAGAGAGAGTGCGAGAGGGAGAGAGTGAGAGAGAGAGAGAGAGAGAGAAAAGGAAATAAACCTTTTCCTTAAAAAAGAGGAGGTTTCTGGAGTCAGAAAGACAATTCAAACCTTTGCTGTATCAATTTACAGGTGGACAACTGTAGGCAAGATATTTAACTTCACTAGCCCTGAAACATAAAAGATAGTATCACCCCTATTACAGGTTGGTTGAAGAACTAGAAAACTACCTTATAAAGTGTCTGGCACTCAGTAAACTCAATAAAAGTTAGAAATTATTGTTTAGTATTATCTCCCTTATTCTGACATGGTTCTGATTTCTTAGTAACTTTTATTTAAACTGTCCTTTTGTACATGCGTGTGTGTGTGTGTGTGTGTGTGTGTGCAGTGCCATTTCAAATCCTTCATATAAAGAATCAATAAGTTAATAAATTTACCTACTAGATCTTTTTGTTAATGGTTTTACCTTCCTGTTTCCAAGAGTGAAAAACTCTTTGAGTTCATACAAAAACAGGGCAGTACATCTGGCTTGTTTACTACTAATATTACCTTGCTAAAGTGAATTCAGAATAAATCTGATTTCATTTTTTATATAGCTGGTGTTAGCTGTGATCATGGTTGTTTAAAATTATATCATTAAGAATACTATTCAAAGTGGCTAAATGGTGGTGTAGTGGTAAAATGTGAAGCTCTGTGAGGTCGATCCCTATGGAAAGGTTCCAGGTTTGAGTTCAGAGACCTCCGAGTGTGCGGGGCATATATATGTCCACGATGCAGAGCTGGCTAAAGTTCAGGTGAATTGCCACATCAAGATCTCATAGAGGTTGCCTCTCTCTCTCTCTTTCTTTCTTTCTTTCTCTGTTTCTCTTTCTCTCTTGTGAATGGAAGAAATAAGTAAATAAAATATAAAAATGAATATTATTCTAATAAATCGTGTACTAGGAATAACACCAGAAAAAGTTAACTCATGGGGTTCTTGTGAAAATTAAATGAAAAGAGCATGGTCAAATTGACACCTTGTTTCCTTCTTGTAAGATTTGTGCCCCCTGTTTCACATAGATTTTGCACTGACTGAAGGCAGTGTGAATACACCTCAGTGCCAAAAAGGATACTTTCCCTGTGGGAATCTTACCAAGTGCTTACCCCGTGCCTTTCACTGCGATGGCGTGGATGACTGTGGCAACGGCGCTGATGAGGAGAATTGTGGTGAGTCCTCCCACTCAGCTCTGCATACATACCTCACTTTACACACTCTCCAAACTGTGGGTTAGTTGGATAACAATGGCAATGAACTAGAGAAGATGATTGGTGTTCTACAGGGAATCCTCAAGTAATGAGATGATTACTCCCCAATTTATTCATGATAATGACCTGAATTTTTACATATAGCAGTTGCTTAAATATAGTATTAAAATGTTCTATAAAAATTAAAATTATGCTTTAAAATCTGCTTGGCTACTCATTTTCATTTTAAGGGGCTTCCTATATCTACCTCTTAATTGCGAGTAATTTGGTTCAGCTGTAAGAATATCCATGAAGTATGAATGGCCCACCTAGAGAAGTATAATAATTGATTTGACAGGAGAGAGTGCGAGAGGGAGAGAGTGAGAGAGAGAGAGAGAGAGAGAAAAGGAAATAAACCTTTTCCTTAAAAAAGAGGAGGTTTCTGGAGTCAGAAAGACAATTCAAACCTTTGCTGTATCAATTTACAGGTGGACAACTGTAGGCAAGATATTTAACTTCACTAGCCCTGAAACATAAAAGATAGTATCACCCCTATTACAGGTTGGTTGAAGAACTAGAAAACTACCTTATAAAGTGTCTGGCACTCAGTAAACTCAATAAAAGTTAGAAATTATTGTTTAGTATTATCTCCCTTATTCTGACATGGTTCTGATTTCTTAGTAACTTTTATTTAAACTGTCCTTTTGTACATGCGTGTGTGTGTGTGTGTGTGTGTGTGTGCAGTGCCATTTCAAATCCTTCATATAAAGAATCAATAAGTTAATAAATTTACCTACTAGATCTTTTTGTTAATGGTTTTACCTTCCTGTTTCCAAGAGTGAAAAACTCTTTGAGTTCATACAAAAACAGGGCAGTACATCTGGCTTGTTTACTACTAATATTACCTTGCTAAAGTGAATTCAGAATAAATCTGATTTCATTTTTTATATAGCTGGTGTTAGCTGTGATCATGGTTGTTTAAAATTATATCATTAAGAATACTATTCAAAGTGGCTAAATGGTGGTGTAGTGGTAAAATGTGAAGCTCTGTGAGGTCGATCCCTATGGAAAGGTTCCAGGTTTGAGTTCAGAGACCTCCGAGTGTGCGGGGCATATATATGTCCACGATGCAGAGCTGGCTAAAGTTCAGGTGAATTGCCACATCAAGATCTCATAGAGGTTGCCTCTCTCTCTCTCTTTCTTTCTTTCTTTCTCTGTTTCTCTTTCTCTCTTGTGAATGGAAGAAATAAGTAAATAAAATATAAAAATGAATATTATTCTAATAAATCGTGTACTAGGAATAACACCAGAAAAAGTTAACTCATGGGGTTCTTGTGAAAATTAAATGAAAAGAGCATGGTCAAATTGACACCTTGTTTCCTTCTTGTAAGATTTGTGCCCCCTGTTTCACATAGATTTTGCACTGACTGAAGGCAGTGTGAATACACCTCAGTGCCAAAAAGGATACTTTCCCTGTGGGAATCTTACCAAGTGCTTACCCCGTGCCTTTCACTGCGATGGCGTGGATGACTGTGGCAACGGCGCTGATGAGGAGAATTGTGGTGAGTCCTCCCACTCAGCTCTGCATACATACCTCACTTTACACACTCTCCAAACTGTGGGTTAGTTGGATAACAATGGCAATGAACTAGAGAAGATGATTGGTGTTCTACAGGGAATCCTCAAGTAATGAGATGATTACTCCCCAATTTATTCATGATAATGACCTGAATTTTTACATATAGCAGTTGCTTAAATATAGTATTAAAATGTTCTATAAAAATTAAAATTATGCTTTAAAATCTGCTTGGCTACTCATTTTCATTTTAAGGGGCTTCCTATATCTACCTCTTAATTGCGAGTAATTTGGTTCAGCTGTAAGAATATCCATGAAGTATGAATGGCCCACCTAGAGAAGTATAATAATTGATTTGACAGATTTTTATTGAGTATCTGCTCTCTACCGATAGCTCTCCAAGTCACTGAGACATAGTGGATTCAAGAGAGTCAAGAGCTTTGAGTTAACATGATCAATGTGCAGTAAGATAACAATAATCCTCTATGTAAATAAACTACTTGTCTCCAAGGGTTATAAGTACTGTGAAGAAAACAAAACAGGGTAATGATATAGAAAGGACTTGAAGGGAGGAACATGGTAAGGACGTAACCAGAGAAAAACTTTTTAGATGACAACACTGGAACTGAGAACAAAATGAAAAAAGAGGAAGAAAGAAGAAAGAAAAAGAAAAAGAAACTATGAAATACTCTGGAGGAATTGCAGTCAAAGGAAGCAGCAAGCGCACAGGCCCTCAGGCTAAATGAAACAAGACAGTGTGTCTGAGGGACAGAAAAGCCAGTGTGGCTTGAGCAGCATGAGCAAAGATAAAAACTGAAGATGAAGAATTCGGCAGAGGCCCGCTCACAGAGAGTCTGGCAGGCCATTTTAGGTCTATATATTGAGACTGTAGGTATTGTCTAACCTACAAGGCCAAAAGGTTAACATGTTTAGTAAGCCACAGAATAGACGACACTAGAACCCAGATCTTGTGAATCTGAAGGAATCTTGTGTATTTCCTGCCACAAAGAACTACCTGTCTTCAGCACCGCCCAACTAGCAGTCGAAGTGGGGCAGCAAAGAGCAGAAATGCCAGATGTCTCTCTCGAATCTGTTCTCCTGCCTCTGGGTAATTGAGCGTGTTTCCTTCTGATGAAACAACCTTCTGCTCACACTTCCCATGGATCAATCTAACTCACCTTTTAAGACTAGATTCAGGTGTCTCCTTTTCCAAGAGGGCTTCCTTAGCCACTCTGAAGCTTTATCACCATACCGAGATGGGTGTCCTTTCTCTCTGTTGCCACAGCACCCTCGGTGTACCTGTACAACTGCACTGAGAAGACTGCCTTATCTTTTCACTGTTTCTACTCCTAGACATTCATTAACTCATTGAGAAGAGGTTTGCATCAAATTCGTTTTGTTGTCAGCAGAGCGCAGGACAGTAGAGCACACAGTGTGCACTCAGTCTGCTCAGTTTGGGGCACAACTCTCTGGATGCCAATGGGCAAGTTATTCAGACCTTGAGTGTTTATCTGTGTCATGAGGATGTTCTGAGTTCAGATTAAATAATGTCCATAAAGACATCAGAGTAGAATCTTTGAAGATATTAATATGGAATAGAAATAGAAAGACTGCTGAATCAAAGGAGTCTGTGAGCAATTACATAAATTTATTTTCAATTTGTGTGAACTTCTGCATTATACATTATAAAACATACTTTATCATTTTTATAGCACATACTAAAGTAATGATACTTCAGAATTAGGCCTCCTTGTATTAAAAGATCACAAGAAAGGAAGGAAACTTGGCAAAAAAAGCAGATCATATGAAATATGACAAATTGACATTAACATATATTCACTCAACAGGACTCAACAGCCTTTATTAAAAATCACTTCAGTTTTGCTTTATTTTAAAAAAGTCAGGTGAAATAAATTTTGTCAGAACCCATTACATCTATCAAGTATGTCTCTCTATGCAGGAGGATGAAAATGGCAAAAATAAAATTTAAGTTATATTTTCTTTTGAGAGCCTAAAATTAAGGTCAAACACTTTAAATGGCAATATTAGAAACCGAAGAAGGCAGTTCTGTAATGCAGTGATTAAGAGAGCCAGATTCCACGTGGCCAACTGCAATATGAAATTCAACCTCACTGAAAAACACACCTGTGCCTCTGCATGCCCAAAATCCTGATGGGATGGAGAAATGAAAGAAAAAGGATTAGCACATGATTACACCCCATTGGAGGGTGTTTCCCCCCCTCTTTCTCTCTCTCTCTTCCAAGTGCATTCATGCTCTGGCATAAGAGAAGGAAAGACCAAAAAAGAGAGAAATGAGAAGAAAGAGAGAGAGAAAGAAGAAAGACTAAGAAGAGTGAGAAAGAAATAAAGATTGAAAAGAGTGAGAGAAAGAAGAAAGGAAAAGGTGATATTTTGCAAGACATTTATATTCGTGTGAAATAATTCTATATTTGCATTATATATTCTATGATACCTATCTCGGAAAGCAACAAGATATCTAGGAATAAACTTAACCAAAGAAGTCAAAGACCGCTACAAGAAAAACTGAAAATCTAAAAAAAGAAATATTTGTAAACATAAAAAGTGAAACTGAGCAAATGCTTGCCTTGCTTTTTCTCCCTTAATAGCTATATATTGAAAAATATTATTTTATTTCTTAGATAATTTTTAATTTCACTTCATTATCAGATTTTATGCTTTTATATGTATACAATATTTGATTTACAGAATAACTGACACGTATTAATCACCATTTCACAGGTGACACTAGTGGATGGGCGACCATATTTGGCACAATCCATGGAAATGCTAATAATGTGGCATTGACACAGGAGTGCTGTAAGTGGTTTGGTTCAAAGACAGTATCAGCTTTGTGAAAAGCATGATTTGTGGTGGTGCATGGATTTTTATGGGTAGTATGATAAATTCCCTTCAATTTCAGTTCAGTGTATTTTTTTTATTTACGTTTAGTCACAGTACATTTTTAGAGTGTACAAAATAGTTTTTCCTAGTGTGAAAACAACACATATTAGGCAAGTTATAGATATTGCCATGCACATTATCAACACTCGTTAACATTTCGTTTTTGTATCTGTTAATTTTTTTTCTGATCCCCTCTCTCCCACCTCCTATTCACCCCCTCCTTCGCAGTCTCTATTATCTTCAGTTGCCCTCCTTGATATTATACATTCCAATCTTTCACTTTCTGTCAAAGAGCACAGACATTCAGTATAGACTAAGTGGTGACACATAATGCTTGTCGTTCATAGTCTGGCTTGTTTTATTTAACATTAAATTTTCTGTATTCCTCCTCTTTGTATAAAATGCCAGGGCCTCATTATTCTTTGTGTCTGAGTCCATCATGTATATGAGCCACATGTTTTTCAATCTATTCATCTGTTCTTGATCATTTGGGCAGATACCATGTCTTAGCAGTTGTGAATAATGCTGCAATAAACATGGATATGCAAGTGTTTTTCTGTTTTCCTATCTCTTGGGCAGATACCTAGGAGTAGAATTGCTGGATCATATGGTAGTTCTATTTGTAGGCTTTTGAGAAAGTTCCATATTGTTCTCCATAGTGGCTGCATTAATTTATATTCCCACCAACAGTGCAAGAGTATTCCCTTTGTCACAGCCTTTCCAGTATTTATCATTCTGTATTTTTTTCATCCTAATCATTCTTACTGGGGTTAAATATCTCATTATAGTTTTGGTTTACATTTCCCTATGATAAGCAATGTTGAGCATTCTTTTAATATGCTTTTTGGTCATTTGTATGTCTTCATTGGAGACTTCTGTTCAGTTCACTTGTCCATTTTTTTATTATATTTTTTATTTTTGGAGGTATGCTGCTTAAGTTTCCTGCATAATCAGTCCCTGATCTGAGGCATATTTGCAAATGTATTTTCCCATTCGGAAAGTTGTCTCTTCATTCTAACTATTATTTCTTTTGATGTGTAGCTTTTAAGCCTGTGGGAGTTCCACTTGTCTATTTTGGGGACTATTGCCTGTGCAGTAGGGGTCTCACTTATGAAAGCTTTGCCTACCCTAATTCAAAAGTTTCCCTGTGTTTTCCACCAGTAGTTTTACATTTTGAGACTTTATGTTTAGATCTTTGATCCATTTTGAGGAGATTTTTGTTACTGGTGAGAGATAGGGTTCCAGATTCATTTTTCTATAGGTGGATATCCAGTTGGTTTTTTTTTGTTTTCTTTTTCCTTTTTTTTTTTTAATTTAAATTTATTTACATTCATTCACTGTACATCATTACAGCATACAAAATGAGATTTTCCATCCAGAGCACACTGTATATTGGCTCAATCAAGCACATCAACATACATGTTATCGTCAACAAATAATTTTCCATTTCTTTTTTTCCTGGATGTTTTGCTTTTATTTCCCCATCATTGATTCCCTACCTCTTCCCCTTTGCCGTATCCCACTCTCCTCCCACACTGTCTCTGGTATCTATGTTTGCTTTCTATACTGTTTTTCCCCCACATTTTATTGAGTCACTAAAGATCTTAATTAAACTAAATATTTTCATAGTAAGCACAGCTGATATATACATTTCCATGAACACAAGTCCAACTTTAGACATAAGCCTCAGTGAGTAGAATGAACATCCTATAAAGTACCACCTAACTGGTAGAAAGAACATCCTGTAAAGCAGCACCTAGCTGGGGCTATATATCTTACTGCAGTCATCCAATAGGTATTTATATGCATTTTTTTTTTAATTTCACAAGAAACAGTTTTATTTTTTCCCTGAAACTTCTCTTTTTTCTTTAACTTAATTTACATTCCTTCCCTAAGCATCGTCACAGCATATAAAATGTGATTTCTCATCCACAATATACTGCATAGTGGCTTAATCATGTATGTTATTGTCAAAAAATTTCCATTTCTAGTTTCTAGTATTTTTTTACCCCTATTTCTGACCCTCTGTCCTTTCCCATCCTCTTCTCACACTATCTCTGGTGTCTACAGTTGTCTTCCATTCCTTTCCCCCCAACATTGTATTGATCATTCAATTTCTGAGATAATCTAACTACTTTCAATAGCAAGTTCACTTGGTACTATTAAGAAAACCAGTTTTAATTTAAATCAAAGAAATGCTAAGGAACTTTGCTTAAAACTTAAAGCCAGGAAACAGGTTAGGATTCTGTTCAAATGGTAGGTACATGAACCTATCCATATCTCAAGATGGACAGAAATCCTTATAACCAGATAACAAAGTCTACAAGAAAATCAGCAATGTTTTAGTCAAAAGTCAAAAAATTATACTTCACCAATTCAGTCTCATGTACTTTATCTTCTGTTGTGGTTCAATTTTCCCAATTAAATTCTGAGATATAATATTCAACTCCATACTTGTCCCTATGATTAAGTTGGCCATATTCTTAGTTTTAGAACTCTTATTTCTGTGTGTCTCTATTTAATTTTCCTGATAGATCACTCCCTTAAGAACTTCTTGGAGACCTGCTCTGATGCTGATGTTTATCTGAGAATGTTCTTCTCTTTTCTTCCCACATGAAAAATTATCTTGCCGGCTACAGTATTCTTGGCTGAAATTGCTTTTCTCTTAACACTTTGAATATATTTTCCCAATCTATCCTCACTCACATCATTTCCAGTGAGAGGTCTCTTGCTGGCCTGATGGGATATCTTTTGTTGGTAACATGATATCCCATGTTTTTCTTTTGCCAATCTTAGTATCTTGTCTTTGTCTGTGGTTTTGGTCAACCTGGCTATAATGTGTCTTGGAGAAGATCTTCTTGGATTGATTCTATTTGGACTCCTTTGTATTTCTTGGGACTGGATCTTTGATTGCCTTTCTAGGTTTGGAAAGTTTTCTTGCAGGATTTCATGGAATAGATTATCAATGCCCTTATAAGTCTCTTCACCTTCTTTAATGCCAATTATCCAGATGTTTGGACGTTTGATGGTATTTAGTACTTCTCGTATATTATTCTCATTTTTGGGGGCAATTTTCTCAGTCTTTGTGGTGGGTTTTTCCAGGCCAGCAATTTTCTCTTCTGCGTCTGAGATTCTATTTTCTGTATGATCTAGTCTGCTTTTAATACTTTCAAGGGAGATTTTGACTTACTGTATTATAGCCTTCATCTCTAACAGTTCTGATTGATTCTTTTTTCAAGTGTGGAATTCCTCTTTCAGATCTTGCAAGAATTTCCTCACCTCCTGGAACGCGTTAGATCCTTTCTCCTTTCTCTTCTCCAGTTCACTGTCTCTCTTCTCTTCCATCTCTGTTAGCTTTGCCATTATGAATGTTCTAAATTCGTTATCAGATTTCCATGATTTCCATTGAACTGCTTGTGGATGAAGAGGAGTTATTCTTTTCCTTTGGAAGAGAGGTATTTTCTTGCTTTCCCATACATCTTGTGGTCCTGTGGTGATTTCTAGTCATCTAATGGATGGTGTGTTTCTTCCTAATTCTTGAAGTTCAATATGAACGTTCAGGAGCAAGCAGAAAGAGGTAATCTAAGGGAACCTGGAATCTCTTTGCCATTCTGTTGTGATCACTTTGTGCATCAGATTCAGGAGATATTGAGGAATATGTTAACCCTAGTTGTATATGAATGTTAAGCTACAGTGCCCTGAGATCCATCAAGAAACACAGTAAATGGATATCGAGGAGTGGAGAGACGAGAAAAAAGAAAATGAAAAAGAGAGAGAGAGAAACAACAACAACAACAACAAAACAGAAAAAAATGAAGGAAAAAACTTTAAAAAATTATAATTATTGCATTTCTTTAAAAAAAAAAAAGCACAAAATAGAAAACTGTGCAGTGTGCTTGCATGCCATGCGAAATGACTAGTTTGCAGGAGCCATGATGAATCTTCTCCTGAAGGCCTGCCTCTCACCTCTCCTGCCTGGGTGGGAAAAGCAGATGGGATTATTAACAAGACAAAAGGCAGAACTGAGAGCAAGAAAAAATTTTACCTTTAAAAAATTTTTAAAAAGAAAAAATTACCAAAAAATGACAAGGCAGAAGCAGGGAGAGACAGAGACAGAGATACAGAGATAGAAGGCTAGAGGAGCTCTCTACCACTCTAGCTTGTTTGCTCGAGTCTGAATTATCAGTAGGAAATCTTCACTTCTCTTTTACCCTGAAATGACTAATTCTCAGGAGCCGTGATTGGTGGATATCCAGTTTTTCCAAAATCATTTGCTAAAAAGATGTTTTTCCCCCACTGACTATCTTGGGCCATTTGTAAAATATTCATAGTTCGGGACCAGCAAGTGGCATGGTCACTAAGGTACTGGACTCCCACATGTCCAACCTCAGTTTGAGACTCAGACCTGGCAGCTTATTTTCTCACTTTCCTTCTCTCTTGTTGTGTTCCTCTCTGAGTTCATGCATGTACCCTGTAGTAAATTTTTTCTAAATTAATAAATAATAAATAAGATTAAATTATCATTTTTTAAAAAAACAATTGGTTGTATATTTTGAGGTCTATTTCTGGGTTTTCTATTCTCTTCTATTGGTCTACATGACTATTTTTGTGTTAGTACCAAACTGTTTTGATAACCACAGTTTTGTAATATAGTTTGAGCTCAGGAAGTGAGATACCTCCTAGTTTATTCTTTTTGTACAGCATTCCTTTGACTATACAAGTTCTTTTATAATTCCAGATAAGTTCTATGATTGTTTTTTTCTATTTCTGTGAAGAATATCTTTGGTAAGTTGATCAAAATTGCATTGAATTTGTGGATTAATTTGGGTGAAATTGACATTTTGGTAATAATTCTTCCAATCAAGGAGGATGGGAGTTCTTTCCACTTTTGTGTATTATTTTTCAATATATTTTTAAAGACTTTCATAATTTTCTTTGTAGAGATCTTTCATTTTCTTGGCTAGATTAATTCTAAGGCATCTTTTTATGTGTTTGTGTGGTTGTTATAAATGGGATTGCTTTCTTAGATTCTGTCTTGATCTGCTCACTATTGGTACATAAAAATGCTGTAGATTTTTGTATGTTGGTTCTTGCCACTTTACTCTATTCATTTATCACTTCCAGGAATTTTTGAGTGGATTGTTTGTGTTTTCTGTGTATGTAATTATGCTATCTGCACATAGAGTTCAATGTATTTTATCACTGGCCAGCTATTTTTCTGTCTGCCTGTGGAACTGGAAAGATAGAAGAAAACAATCACCTCCATTCATTCTAATTGTATAAATTAGACTATGATTGCAAGAATATATAGGTGTGAAATTATGACCAATAGTGTGGTTTTTATTCCCTTTAATAACTTTTTCAATAAAGATACCGAGCACCCACTTCTTCCCAGATCCTATGTTAGGCATCGAGCATACAGTGATGAAAATGTGGCTCCAACCTATAGATACCTCATTTCATGACAGGAGAGACAGATTCTTACAGAAGCAGTGATGGTACAGTATTAGTGCTGAAACAGAGAAAAGACACTTGCATAAGGGATGTAGAAGCCCTTTGGAAGAGATATTTTTCTCCCTGGGATAAGAAGAGATGCCCAGAGAAGATAACTGAGTTGGACTTTGAAGACCTTATATGGAGGGAAGGATAAGAGGTGACAAGATTAACAGGGAAGGAAGATCAGTAAAACACTGGGGTAGGAAGGTATAGAGCATGTTTCACAAGGCCCAATCATAATGACCCTGTGCGCATGAGATATAGGAGTAGGAGCTAAGCCTCGAAGGCTGGGACTGGCCCAGCAAAAGTGAGTGCACACTGTGGAGTTAGACTTCTATCTTGTAAACAGAAGTATGTGCATATGCAGGTGTGTAAAATTATCAGGGCACTTAAAAAAGTTTGTGAAAAAGTGAAATTGAAATATTAGTTTATTTTGGTGCAAAAACAATGCTGAAATAGGTATTTCATAGTGCACATTTTCCACAAACTTTTTAAAGAACTGTCATATTGAGATGAATGAACAATTATATACCTATATTAGTATGTATATATAAAGTGTGTATATATTATATACATTCTAAATGCTGCACTAACAGTATATTTTCACTTTATAATATCAGTTTATAATTACCATGCTTTATTATACACAAGTATATTATGCATAAAAATTAGAAATTATAAAGGATAAGATTAAAATAAATACAGCACAAATGAATTCACCCCTCCCACCTCTTTTCTTCAGCTAATGGAAACTGTTAAGGGAAGCTGATACAGAGAGACAACTTGCTCCTTTTCATCAGCTTTATAATAAACTGTTTAACATAAGGTTTCAATAGCACCTTGTTTTGCCTCTTTAAATTATGACATGCACAAACCTTCTTTTCAATGCAATGCATCTAAAGTTTTGATACTTGTCACTTTTTTTTTTTTTTTGGTTGTAATTAAGAATCACGGATTTGGGACCAGCAGTTAGCATAATGGCTATGTTGCTGAACTCTTATGTAGTCGACCACAGTTCGAGTCCCAGACCCAGAGTCTTAAACTCACGCTGGGCGTGTGTGTGTGTGTGTGTGTGTGTGTGTACCCAAGATCCTGAGAGGAGAATGGAGGAGAAGGAATTGCGGTGTGGCCATCCCCCCTAGGGGGTGATTTCTTGTTTTCTGTCTCTCTGTCTCTCTCTGTCTTTCTGGCGAGCACACGTGCCCTATAGCAAAGACCTCTCAAAAAAAAAAAAAATCACAGGTTTATGTTTTGTAATTCTTTGGCTATTGTTTTTATGTATCCTGACAACATCATGTCAATCAAGATGGGTTATTATGAAATGACAGACTTCAAAAATAAATGCTTTGGAATTCAGTGGGTAAATAAATGCTGCTTTGGGGATATTAAAAATAAATAAATAAATAAATAAAGCCAAAAGTTCTAATATTTTGTTCCAGAACCACAATGGGTTGCTGTGTGCCCATCGTATTTCAGAAACCACTGCTGTACATAGTGGGAAACCACCAAAGTTATGGGCTCCTTTGGTTTGGTGTAGGTTTTTGCTGTGTTTTGTTTTACTTTTAATGAAGAAGGAAATCACATGGTCCGAAATGTTTGTAAAGAATATTCTTCTATCATAACTGTAGAATATGGCTAAGAACAATGAATCTTAGCCCAGTACATTCGTGCCCCGGAGATTGTTTGACACTGTCTAAAGACATTTTTGTTGTCACAACTGGAGGGGGTTGGTTTCTGCTAGCATCTAGAGGGTAGAGGCCAGGGATGCTGCTGAACTTACTGTACAGGACAGCCCCCATGACAAAGAGGGATCTGGCACAGAATGGCAGTCATGCTCAGACTGAGGAGAAAGAATGAAGAAAGACATACTAATCCTCATGTTTATTGCAATGCCCCAAAACTAAGAATCTAAGCCCAGAAAATGCTACTGAAGAAGTCTATTTAAGAGATGTAAATTTTATACATTCAGTGAAAAGATAACAATGTCAGTTATTTCTTATAAATTCATAATTAAACGTATGTATTTTCTTCCTGGTAAAGTCTTCCTCTTTTCCCCCCTAGTTCTAAACCAGTATCCACAACAATGTGACTGCAAAGAAACTGAATTGGAATGTGCAAATGCTGGCCTCCAGTCTGTGCCATCGGTCTCCAACAATGTGACATTACTGTGAGTATAACTCCATTCTTGATTATGTCTGTTCCCTAAAGTCACAGCAAAACCAAAGAAAATTCTCCAGTGCTACTTGGATACTGGCAAAATAAAAGAAACTCCATTTAAAACCACCATCATCAGAGAATTCTGCATGCTTTCTCTCCAAGGGAAAAATGCTTTAAACATTATGTTTAGATTAGCTTTGTTTTATTTAGCTCACTAACATCTGTGCTTAAAGTTTTTATTTTCGATTATTTTCTGATTTATGTATTATTACTAATGGCCTTGTGCTGGAATGTAAAAAAGAAAAAAAGTTGAAATTTATTCAAGACTGCATGATGTTAGCTGTGCCGTATTGTGCAAACTTTTCTGTATTTAACATAATTCTGTAAGAGCTTCAGGAATTTGCAGTCATGTTATCATTGGGCCTACATGAGTAGGTTAGTATTTTTGGTTTTTGTTTTTTTTTTTTTTTAGTTTTGTTTGTTGTGTTTTGTTAACTCACTCGGAGAATAAAAGAAAATGTTAAAATCCTCATAGACTTGCCAGTCTATCATACTAACACTAATCTTGTCTAATATTTGTAAATTCCTTTAATTTTACTTTATAAAGTTTCATAAACTCTTATAAAAAGTTATCAGTTACTGTCACGCCCAAATGTGTGGTAAGTACTATGGAATATCATCAAATATTCTTCTTCCAAGCATGGTTCAAGCTTGTAGGGAAGAGTTTGGCTGACCAAAAAAATTTATAATAAAGTCTACTTTACATGTTATTTTAGGTCTCTTAAGAAAAACAAAATCCACAGTCTTCCAGATAAGGTTTTCAGCAAATATACAGAACTTAAAAAGATGTAAGTAGCTATTAATAGTGAATTTATGGAAAAATCCTGTAATGTTTTATTTAAGATGTTTTACATCTAAAAATAAAATAAAATAATAAAGTTTGTTATCTTTATCATTAAGTTTATGTTTCTAAATGTATTTAAGATTAGAAAATAAGATTTTAAAAATATGTTATACTTCCATTTTGTATTTTATTTCATTTCATTTTATTTTAGGCAGGGTTTCATGATCACATCCTCCCAGTTAGAACCACAAGTGTACTCCACCACGCCAGCTCTTTTCTTAGACAGGGTCAGCCTAAAGTTCACAATTCTCCTGTCTCAGCCTTCAGGTGGCTGGGATGACACTATGTCCCACCATAATGTTGGGCAGGGAATCAAACCCAGGCCTTCCATGTGGTTCCAACCTTCAGAGTGCAGTGTTTCAGCAGTGTGTGCCACTGTGGTTGAGTCTTTATTTCATAATTTAGAGTAGTTGAACCAGGGCTAGCAGATGGCATGGTGGTTAAAGGTGTTTGATACTCACATGGCCAACCGCGGTTTGAGTTCTAGACTTGGTGGCTTGCTTTCTCCCTTTCCCTTTCGCTCTCTGGTCAAGTTAAAAAATAATAATAACAAAATTGAATTAAATAAATAAATAATTCTTTAAAAAAAATAAAGTAGTTGAACTGATTTTATTTACGTTTTTAGAGAGTTAACTTGGAGTTGAGATTTAAGGTTTCAATAGGAAAATACATAGTTACACACTTTTCCTCAAAATTATTTGGAAAATGATATTGTAGATTCAGAGGCACTAGATATATTTTTTAACTTGGAAAAAAGAGTGACAAGATAAAGAATAATCTGATCATTTAAAATACATAATGAGGGATAAGTATGTGATGTAGTGGTTAAGGTACTGTACTCCTGCATGCTTGACCATGGTTTAAGTCCCGGACCCAGCAACTTGAAATCACAGTGGGCCTGTGTACATGCATGCCCAAAATCCTGAGAGGAGAATGGAGGTGAAGGGATTGCAGCATGGCCATACACAGTGGGGGAGATTTCTCACCTTCCCTCTCTCTGTCTCTCTCTCTCTCTCTCTCTCTCTAGCAAGTACATGCACCTTTTAAAAAATTACCTACCTTCAATCTGACATCCATGTTCAGAGCAATATTCACGTAGCTAAAACATGAAAGCAACCCTAATGCCATAGGCAGATGAATGTGTAAGCAAAATGTGGTCGATGTATTCAATGTAATATTCATCCAACAGCAATTCTGACCTGTGCTATAACATGGATGTCACTTGCGGACAGTATACTCAGGGAAATAAATGAGCCACAAAAGAAGAAGTAAGGTACTGTTTGAGTTTACTTACATGAAGTGTCGAGAGCAGTCAAATTTATACAAACAGAAAGTAGAATGGTGGTTCCCAATGGGTAGGGAATGGAGGGATGAGTTTACTTACATGAAGTATCGAGAGCAGTCAAATTTAATTCTTTAAAAAAAATAAAGTAGTTGAACTGATTTTATTTACGTTTTTAGAGAGTTAACTTGGAGTTGAGATTTAAGGTTTCAATAGGAAAATACATAGTTACACACTTTTCCTCAAAATTATTTGGAAAATGATATTGTAGATTCAGAGGCACTAGATATATTTTTTAACTTGGAAAAAAGAGTGACAAGATAAAGAATAATCTGATCATTTAAAATACATAATGAGGGATAAGTATGTGATGTAGTGGTTAAGGTACTGTACTCCTGCATGCTTGACCATGGTTTAAGTCCCGGACCCAGCAACTTGAAATCACAGTGGGCCTGTGTACATGCATGCCCAAAATCCTGAGAGGAGAATGGAGGTGAAGGGATTGCAGCATGGCCATACACAGTGGGGGAGATTTCTCACCTTCCCTCTCTCTGTCTCTCTCTCTCTCTCTGGTGAGTGCCCATGCCCTATGACAGTAATAATAAATAAATATATGTATATATATAAATAATATAAACTACCTCTGAGAGTAGTAAGAGTAAAAACACAATAGTAATAAAAGAAGTGATATTAGTATACCTGAAAAGAAAAATTCAATAAATAGGGCATATTCAGTAGATAAGAAATTGTATTCAGTGACAAAAAAAAAGGTCAATATTCTTCCAGCAGCATCTAAGAAAGAAAAACAGGATCTTAGAAATGCATTCCCTAGAGATGGTCTCTGTCAGGCAATCAGGACTACCAATCTCCACAAAATTTTTATGCACTTTCTCTTTATACTGTCTACATTTGTATGCTTTTATCCCCTGTTCATCAATCTTATGGTGGTTAATTTAACTTACCAATTTCTCCAAACTAAATTATTTGAAAAGTTACATTGGAAAGCATATACAAACATACCTACCAGTGAAATAGGATATCCTCTTTCAAATTAATAAATTGAGGATATTCAGGTTCATATGCTATATATTTTGTCTATATTATTATAGCTCAAATTATCTCTAAATCTCCCCATCACTCCATCCACTTAGACTTCTACATAATTGCAGGTATTTAAAGCTGGCTCTCATTGCCCTCCACATACCGCAGATCTCTTCTCCAACCATCCTTTGTTTCTTATTTTTCTAGAGGACTTGATTTCAACTCTGTTCATCATTCTGGTCCCGTTAGTCTGCATACATTTACCTACATTTGCCTTAATGTGCAGAATCTGAAATAATGTAATAAATCACACCGGGGAAAACAGGGAAAATTGACATCCCCTTTTTTCTGAATCCTATCTGTGCAGCCTAAGGTTCTAGTGCTCTAATGCTCTTTTGGTGACTACTTGACACCCTTATCTCCTTCTGGTCTTGGCTCTACAATTGCTAATTCCATGTCATGTGTGTTACTACCTTGTGATGGGAACTCCATCCTGTACTTGTGCACTTAGTATTTGAGAGTTTGTTGTGGGTCCTTAAGTGTATCCCAGATCAGTTTTATCACATTGGGTTCAGCCATTTTTTTTTTTAAACAGACAGTGAAGATCTTTTTGGATCATTCAAGATATCCACTATTCCCTCCAGAATTCTGTCATCTGTAAATAAGATGAAATATCTTTTCCTAAGTCATGCAGTAAAATATTGAAAAACATAGCCAAATTATCTTCCTATATACCTTCATCACCCCTCATACCAAGATGTGCAGTACTCTATTTCTTCCCTAAAAACATCATAAAACCACTTGATCAATGCCTAAAAGGAATGTAACAACATCGCTCACACGGCTTTATCTGGTTAATCGTGCAAAGAAGAAAAGGAAGCTGGTCTGACATGCCCTGCTGTTCACGAACTTTATATATACATATATATAGGATTCAGCCTTTTTTTTCCTTCCCATTTAAAATTTTTTTGATTTCTTATTTATACTCAATCATTGCACATCTCTATAGTATAAATATGACTTTTCCAATTTACTTTTTCTTTGAAGTGGTCCCAAAGTAGCATTATATGAGCCTGTTCTATGAGCTTACCAGAACCAGCAGTGAGTGAAACCTATGTCTTTCCTTTTCAAAAAATCAAAACCACCTTTAATTTTCCAGCTGCTCAAACTTTCCCCAAATTCCTTAATAATTGATCATGACTGGCTGATCTCATTTTTGGTCTTTCTCAATTTCTGGGAGAAAGTGTTCAAGTAAGAAAGTTTATTTCATTTTGATTAACATATCCTACCATCTCTGGGTTGTCACTGCCCCTGCCCTATAGTCTTTCTATTTGCTTCAGTCTTGAGATCACTTTCTTTGAGAAGTCAGGAGTAAAGTAGAAGTTGAGAAATACATGGTTGTTTCCTTTATAATATCTCACATTATAAAACCGGTCTCGGGGGCAAGCTTGGATTTTCCTTCATGTTTTCTTGCTTCTACAGTATAATTAAATATACATTTTTATTTGTCATAGCCTTCTTTACTCTCTGAAGTTTTCCCCCTTCCCTATGCATTTATTTGTTTACTTACATATTTTACAAAGTTGTACATAACAAAAAACACAAGTTATATATATATATATGGTCTTTGCTTTAGAATGCATACAAACTGGAGAGAGAGAGACAGAAATGGTGGGAGGGAAAGTGAGAAATCACCCCTCAGGGTGAGTGGCCTCAATCTCTTCTCATCTATTCTCCTGGGATTTTGGATACACGCACAGACATGCCTGGTGTGAGTTTCAAGCTACCAGGTTCGGGACTTGAACTGTGTTCGGCCATGCGGGAGTCCAGCAACATAATCGCTACACCATCTGCCGGCCCCAATACAGATAATATTTGTAACAATAATGTACAGATACCAACCTTAATGACAAACTACGCTTTCACTGAAGATTATGAACATGTTGCACACTCATCAGCCCTTTCTTTTAGGCAAGATGCTCTTGGGATGACAAATTAACAGCTGCACATTAGAGTGAACTATTTTCAGACAATACAAAGAAGAAGTTTTGGGTTGCTTTTCTCTTGTAAATATAAATTTATCATTTAGAATCTTCAAATATTATTATACTTAAACTGTCATAATTTGATCAAGCTGAGTTTTTAATATTAAATTAAATTAAAACATTTAATTCATCCCTGAATTCCAAGGGAACTGCTCTCTCATCACGTATTTCTCCAGCTGGTTGCTGGTTCTCTCATAATACCATGGACCTCCACTCTATCCTTTGTAGTGTATGTCGTAGTACACGCAGCAAGGTTCCGGGAAGGATCAATGTGTATGTCAAATGAATGACGGATCAGACTGACACACAGGGCTAAAGAGAAGGTGGAGAGCATCTTCATCAAGGAGAAGAAAGAAATCTAAGCAGAAATATTCAAAGAATGCTGGGGAGGAAACAGGACAGTTTGTCTAAAGGAAAAGGAATCCGACCAGCAATAGGGAGCCCATGGTGAGAAGGTCATCGAACCATGATTATAGAGATCTTGCATGCTAGGGAAGGCATCTGGATTTTATTCTCCGAGTAGGGAGAAGAAATGCAGAAATATGTGTTTAAGATGGTATTGACATAGTAAAATTAATATGCACTTTTAAGTTGTATTAAGATAGATCATCAGATTTAATGTCAAGTGAGTATACAGTTTGGATTGCTCTAAATATTCACAGTGGAGTTGAGGTCGTTTAGGCATCTGGAAAAACAAATTCCTAAATCAAAATTAAATATTAATTGCCAGAAGATTAAATGTTCAACTGATCTGAATGATTTCACCATTGATCAGTTTACTCATTTTAATGATCTTTTTTAACATCTAGCCTTTCTAAAGTTAGAGGGGAAAGCAGTTTCAGATGACCTTACAGAGAAATAAAATACAATGTACAGGATTGACTATAATGCTTTATCACTGCTACCATGGAAACCAACAGCAGCGCTTCACCTCATTGGAACATGAACCCTAGATAAATTAGGAATTCCTTCTTTAACTGGGTTCTTGTTAAATGCAACTATTGGCAACAAAATGTTATTCAAAGTGTCTGCTTGGCTTTTTGAATACAAAATGTCACATTAAAAAGTAGCCTATAAACATTCATGTCATTAAAGCATTTATTTGCTTTAGTTTCAGGTACATAAATTCCTGGCGTTTCTGCTTGAAAAGTCCTGACAGCTGAAACAG